TGAAGGCAGAGGACAAAATCAAGAACTCCCAAACACTGGAGGAGGAGAACCAGGAAAGGAAGTGACTTAAAGGAGATGGTGATGATTTCTGTTGGGGATCTCTTTAATTTCACACACTTTGAGACATCTAGGTAGAAATACTCATCAAACTACTGCATGTTTTGATCTAACTCTTAGAAAAATATACCTAGAAAACCAAATTTGGGATACATCAAGATTTAGGTTAAAATTAAAATAATAAGAGTCTGAATAAGATCATGCAGATAGAGAATGTACAATTAGCATAATGGTAGCCCAAGGTGGAACCAATAGAACACTAACATTTAAGGAGTTAGAGGAAGGAAGAAAGGGAGAAGGGAGGGAGGAAGGGAGGGAGGGATGGAGGGAGGAAGGAAGGAAAAAAAGAAAACAAAAACCTGAAAGGAGAAAGAAAAAGAGGAATATGAGGAAAAATATGTCATGGGAGCCAAGAGAGTTTTAAGGAAGAAATTTTTATCAGATTCAAATGTAAAACATAGGCCCAAGAGATGATCATTAACAAATGGCTATTGGATTTGGTGATCTATCAGTAATTGATGATCTTAACAAAATCTCATTTCATGAGATGTAAGGCAAACTGCTGTAAAATGGGGAGCATCTGAGAAATAAAGAGGTGGAGATAGGAGCCATCACTATTCCTGCAAGAGGTTAAGATGAAGAGCAAAAAGAGGTAGGACAATGCTGCCTAAGAAATACTGGGTCAAGAGAGAATCAGGAAAAGGAGAGTTGTTTCCAGTTCTATTGTCATTAGATACTAAAGTTCTACCAATCACTCTGAGAGAACAGTCTGGCTCAGACAAAAGGTAACATTACATGATAACTAACAAAAGTTGAGAATTCCAATTACTTAGCAAGAACAGCAAAATTAAACTGTTCCATAGGATTATCTATTTTAAAAAAACATTGATAATATTCAAAAAGATTAGGCCCTGGCTCTGCCACTTAGTAGTTGTGCAACTTTGGACAAATTACTTCATCCTTTGCCTCTCAATTTCCTCATCTTCAAAGTGGGGATAATAACAGTACTTACAGGTGTGAGAATTATAATAAGATGCTGCATACAAAATGCTAACTTGGTGCTGGCTTAGTGTAGGACCTCAAATTTGTCAATATCTATCCTTATCTAATAATAGAGAAACATGGTAATTAACCGTAACTTCACTACCCTTCCCATTGGCTAATCAGCGAGATATGCAAATTAACTGCCAACCAAGATGGCGGCCGGCAGCCAGGCAGCTGAAGCAAACAGGAGGCTTGCTTGCTCCAGTGAAGGAGGAAGCCAAGGTTCCCCGCTTGCTGCTGCTGGGCTCTGAGCTTGCATTCTAAGAAACAATGTTGCAATTATAGAAGCTAAACAAACCCGAGAAACCTGCTGTCAGCCGTCAGAGCTGGAGCTGCAACAGTGTTTCAATTATAGAAGCCAAACAAACCCAGATACCTGCTTTCAGCAGCCGAGGTCTAAGAGCTGAAGCCGAGCCTCAGAGCTAAAGCCGGCTCTCAGCTCCAGTGACAGCCATAGAAGGTAAATAAATCTCAGAATAAAAAAGAAAAAGAAAAAAAGGAAAGGTTGGGAGCTTCAGTCACCCGCCAGCCTGAAAACGGCCCTCAGCCCCTCATCCAGGCTGGCCAGGCACCCAAGCGGGACCCCCATCCTGATCTGGGACACCCTTCAGGGCAAACCAGCCGGCCCCCACCTGTGCACCAGGCCTCTATCCTATATAGTAAAAGGGTAATATGCAAACTGACCCTAACAGCAGAAAGACTGGAAATGACTGGTCACTATGACACACACTGACAACCAGGGGGCAGATGCTCAATGCAGGATCTGCCCCCTGGAGGTCAGGGCGCTCTCACATGGGAGGAGCTCTGCTCAACCACAAGACAGGATGATGGCTGCCAGTACAGCAGTGGTGGTGGGAGCCTCTCCTGCCTCCTCAGCAGCGCTAAGGATGTCCGACTGCAGTTTAGGCCTGCTCCCCGCTGGCAAGTGGACATCCCCTGAGGGCTGCTGGGCTGCCAGAGGGATGTCTGATTGCCATCTTAGGCCCAATCCCCCGGGGAGCAGGCCTAAGCCAGCAGGTGGTTATCCCCTGAGGGGTCCCAGACTGCGAGAGGGCACAGGCCGGGCTGAGGGACCCCCTCTCCTCCCCGAGTGCACAAATTTTTGTGCACCGGGCCTCTAGTATATATATAAAAGCCTAAGCAACTGAATGACCGAATGACCAGTCAGCCGGTCGCTATGATGCGCACTGACCACCAGAGGGCAGACGCTCAACACAGGAACTGCCCCCGGTGGTCAGTGGGCTCCCACAGTGGGAGTGCTGCTCAGCTGACTGATGGGCGCCAGACACCAGGCTCACGGCTGGTGAGGGCTGCTGCGGTGGCACGAATCTCTCCCGCTTTTGCGGCATCACTACTGAGCTGCAGCGACAGGTGCTGCAGGGCCGGGATGCTCGGGCTCCTCCCTGGCTGCCTGCTGCTTTGCACACTACTACATCCCCCAAGGGGTCCTGGATTGCGAGAGGGCACAGGCCAGGCTGAGGGACCCCGCTGGTGCACAAATCCGTGCACTGGGCCTCTAGTTTAGTATAACAGACAAAAACTACATAGTGCATAATGCATTTATGACAAGTCCTCATGGCATTCTGATTTACAGGTTCATAATCAGCTCCAATAAATAGGTCACCATTCATCTACTTAAGGAAAAACAACACACTGTAAACACTTTACCCTAATAAATTTGCATATATCTTATAAATCAGGAAAAGGAAAAACAAGGAATCAATTGTAATTTCAAATTCAAAAGAATCTTTCTCTTATATGGCACTGAGGTACAGGTCTCATTAATTTCTATAACAAAGTATACAATGCAGGGACTTGTTCATCTCTGTGTCAAGAATGAATTAAACATAACTCTGAATAGTAATAAGTGCTGTATGTTGTCTCCCTTTTTAATTTACATGTGCAGTAATCTTTAATGATATAGCATGCAACTCTTCCAGCCAATCCAAGGAGACAAAAAGATTCAATTATTTTCCAGATCTATAAGCAGTTACATACTTCCTTATTTATCAGAATTTCATTACTGCTGAAACAGATAAAAAGACAGCAAATAGTAAAAGATCTTATGATCAGTAGTCAACAAGTCCAAAAATATGGGAGAAATGCATAAAAATACAATTCATAATATATAGCCTCATTACTGCTAAGAATACCATCACCTTTTAAACAAACAAAAAACCAACTATTTAATAAAACAAGGAGTAAAATCCTCAGTAAAGCTCTGCATCAAAATTATAAAAGTATAGTTCTAGAATTAAGATATCATAAAGTGATTTGAATTGACATAATTTTTTAAAAAACCCATCAAGTATGTAGTTTGGTAGTTATAGTAGATGCAGATGATGGGCAAATTTACATTCAGAAATTTCATATACAGATCTTTAAATCAGTACCATAGTTTCTAGCAAAAATCTTTAAGACTTTCTCCCCCACCCCCAAATAAGTCTAATTAGCAAAAACATTATTTCTTGGATGAATTAACCCAACTGCAAGTGAGTATACACTTAAACACCCTCAGTGCACACCCTCATTGTCTTTATTTTTATTCAACTCTATACTTCAAGCACAATAGTCATCAGATTGCTAAAAGCACCAGGAAGCACAGCCATGAGAATACAGAACTGACATTTGACAGATATTAAGCAATTAAAGCTAACAAGTTTGGCTTTTAATGTTAAATTTTTTTAAAAAATTAATTTTTAACACCACAGTAAGAAAAATGCAACCCCTTTTCTCTGCTTAGTAAAATTCTCACTATATAAAACTGAAACAAAGAAATAAACCTTTTTTTCCTACCCTGGAGTACTATATAATACCTGAACATCACAATAGTAGTACTGGAACACTGAAAAAATAAAGTGCCACGTTAAAGATTAAATAAATAACATTCTCAGGAGTAACACACATAAAACCCACTTCACATCATTGTATTGCATCCTAAGGCAACTTGGTAGTTATTCTGGTATTGTAAATGGTTAATAAAAAGTCTCAGTTAATTAAAAAATCTAGAAATTAAAAATATATATGTATCTTTTCACCCACTCAGGGTAAGTAAAAATGCATTATTAGGGGTAAGATGACATTACATGTTGAAGTGAAGGGTAGAGTGGCAGAGTAAAAATGATGTCTTTGTTATCCTCCCCAAAATAATTTTGCTTGGATTGGCATAGTCCATACCAAGAATGAAGGAGTCACCCCAGGTCTGGACTGAGCATCCTGTTTGTACCAATCACTGTCTAGCTGCTGCTGCTCCTTTTGTGGCAGAGTTAGACCCTTACAAAGAAGTGATTCTTTGGTTGAACCAGCGGCAACCTAGACTCAATATGCAATGAGAAACACATGAATGAATTTGATTCCTGGTGGCCGTCAATGAAAGTATCAAGACTATCCATAATCAGTGTGATATGAACATACATGACAAACACTGCTTATACACACCAATTTGCACATTCCTGTACATCCACTTTTCTTCCTCTTTGGATAACACTGAGCTAAACGTTTGAAACAATGAAAGTACCTTAAAATGTAAACTTCTATGTAGATAACACACACCACATCTCTTACTTTAGGTAGCAGAGGATAAACACAAGGGAGGAAAATCCATTATGAAACTAAATCCAGGCACTTCCCTTGGGTTCCTTTTCTTTTTTCTGTTGCTGTCAGTCAAGAACTGTTTCACATCTGTACGGATGGGGTGTTCCTAGGACAAGACCAACCCAGACCCAAGTTCATCTTGGTAACTGGAGCCCATTTACCCCCCCCCCCCCCAACAACCACACACACACACCCCTTCCCCTTCCGCAGGTACAAGTTTCTGGTCTGCATGCCTAGAAGTAGTATAAATCCAAACTGGAGAAGGAGCCAAACGGACGAAACTAACGAGAAATTCACTAAATCACCAAGTCTAATGACACTCAGGGGCCAGCAGCATCCTGCCTCCTCCAAAAGCTCAGGATTAGGCTAAAGGAAAAAACGGGGGGGAGAGGGCGGGGGTCGGTGTCACCAGGAGGAGGACGCCAGGCTGCCCAGGGGTGAGGCTGGGTGCGCGTTGGAGGAGGAGGAAGCAGAAAAGTGACGCACCAGGGCGGTCACCTGTGGGGCCACGGAGCCAGCCCCGCCCCCAGGGGCTGCCGCGGGAACCGCGGCCCGAAGCCCCCAGACCCGCCTGGGAAACACTGCGCCGGGCCCCCTCGGGCCGGCCCGGAACTCACCATCCACGGTTTTCTTCTTGAAGAAGGACGCCATGGTCAGGCACCGCTCCCAGGCGGCCCGGTTCGGCCCGGCCCGGTTCGCGACCGGGAGAGGACCGGGGAAAGGACAGGCCCCGGACGGGTTCGGGGAGGCGAGGCCGGAGGACCGGAGGACCGGAGGACCGGAGGACCGGAGGACCGGAGGAGAGGGCAGGGTCTCCAGGCAGGACCGCAGAGGGCGGTATCCGCGCAGCCTCCCGCCGCCGACTCGCAGGCGCTCAGGTGACTGCGAACTAAGACACTTTTTGAGAAGTCACTTCTGGGCGGCGCCTGCGCGCTGTCCGCCGCGCCTGCGCACTGAGGCGCCCGAAGCCGCCGCCGCTGCCCTCACCTCGGCTGCCGCCCGGTCCTCCCGCGTCCGGGGTCCGGGCGCAGCGACCCCGCGGGGGCTTGCGGAGGTAGCGGGTCGTGGGGGCCGCGGGCCGGCTCGGGGCCTTCTTGTACGCGGGCTCCGTGCTGAGCGCCGGCAGAGAGGAGCTTTGCTCAGCCCCTGCCCCTTCGCCTGGGGGAAGCGGGAAGAAGGAGGGGTCCCCGCCGTCCTGGGACCCGCGTGGGTGGTCCGGAACCGGGGGATTTACGGTCGTTCCGCAGCTGTCAAGTCAACACCGCGCTAAGGGCAGCCCCCGCGGCCACGCCGCAGTGCGCGCCGCGGTGTCAGCTCCGGAGGGAGCGCGCGTTCCCTTCCGCCCCAGCTGCTCAGCCGCTCCCGGCGGGCGGGACGAAGCGCGAAGCGCCGGCCGGCGGCCCAGGGCGCTGGGCTGGGTCGCCTCCGGTGATGCGGCTTTCTAGGCTGGGCGAGGGCGGGGGAGGAAAGGAACTGGGGAGCAGCTTTCTCAATGCAACACTTTCATGTTCTCAACTGGAAACATGAACAACAAAACACGTCAACCCTATTTTAAAAAATATATCGATTGCTCAAGAAAAATTCATGGCTTATAATGTGAACCTATTAGATTGCTATATAACGGTACATTGTTTTTGCCGTGGGGAAAAAAAAGACACCCCCCCCATATCATGTTAAAATAATTTAAAGAATCCTTGTGTATATAAGCATAAATATGGGAAATACAATCTTTGGATCAGGTCTTTCAGGTCATTGTTTTACTTTATTGTGTGTGTGTGTGTGTGTGTACACATATTTCAGTTTAATGTATTATTTCACTATTTAGAATCTTATTTGCTTTGAACTTTCCCCTCCCAATGTATTTATTAGTGCTTTGAGCAACACTGCCTTCCACAGGATAAAAATAATAATGGCCTATATTTTTTCGTAGATGTGTTTTCTGTTAGGAAAGACACTCCAATAATCGTGTCAATATTATCAGTCACCTCTAGCTATATGAATCATGTCTCAAGGATGTTTAAGTATTTGTGGTATTTAGACTTCCCTTCCCAATCTCCCCTACCCGTGTCCCTGCCCCCCCCCCCCCCTTAGGTATGAAAACCCTCAGGGTCACTGACAACCCTGCGGTTCCTACTAAAATTTACCTAAGAGTTTGCTCATAAAAACTTGCTCAGAATGACAATAATAGGCAAGGTGAACCTGCCTTACTCCTCAAGTCATTCCAGATACTATGGGAAGGCAAAGAAATGAGGAAACAGGGAAAACTCCGAGGGGACTTCCTCTGAGCACCCAAGACCTGGTCTTTCCTGGAGTCAACTCTGGCAGAAAGGCGGCTTCCCTGGCTGCCTGCTGTAATGGATGGCACTGAGCTGTGCTTGAATGCTTGAGCAGCGACGAGCTGTTTGAGTGTGGTAATCAGACTCCTCCCTGCTGCAGTCACCCTTGTTTTATTGCTCCTACAGATTCCCCCCCACTGACCCAATTGTAACAGTTGGGAAAATGCCAACATACTTAACAGCAACCATATGGAAGACCCTCCAAAAGTGCACAGCAGGAGCTAAAGACAGGGCTTGTTCATTACAATAAAGATAAAATAGAAATATGTGGTGTGTAAACCCAGCACTCTAGGAGCTTGGTTCTCCCATAGTTTGAAATAGGCTGACATTTAAGCTGATATGCACGAGACTGTCGGCCAAACTCCAGTGCTGCATATTTGATATGTACATCACTTCTTATGTGAAAGGCATGTACATTTAAATATAACTGAGATTTAAGACACCAAGAAGCCATAAACTACAAACAATATATTTTTCATTTGTTTAAAACCGCCATCTGCCCATACAAACTCACTAAATCAACAAGATACATATAAGCATAGTGGAAAGAGAAAACATTGTAATGTCACTCTTTTTAAATCTCATTAAGAAATAATTAACTAATATACTATGATCACATCATTATGATCCAATACTCTTCTTCCGAATTGCTCAGACAGTGGAAAATATTTATTGCATACCTAATGACACATACCATGCTATTCTGGGGACATAGCAGTGAAAACACAAATACAGTTTCTTCCCCCTTTTTCTCTTACCCACCTTCCTAACAGGCTTTTCATCTTTTCTTATTCACTTGTTACAATTCTTACACCAATTCCAATGTGGTTGTTTTTTTTTTTATCTCCCCACACCAAGTAATCTCAGACACTAGTGGGGTGTTGTAGAAATCAAATCAATTCTGACACTATCTACCTGGAGATGGTTTCAGATTCCACAGGTTAAAGGTAAAGTCCCAAAAGACCCCCAACTTCAGATGCCAATAGCAAGTCCAGGTTGTCATCTGACAGATCGGCTATAAATCCGAGGTTCCCATCACCCCATCCTTGGTTTTCATTAATTTGTTAGGTCAGTTCACAGAACTCAGGAACCCACTTTACTCACTAGATTACAGGCTTATTACGAAAGATATTAAAGGGTAAAAATCAACAGCCAGAAAAAGAGATACATAGGGCAAGGTCCTGAATGCAGAGCTTCTGTTTCCCTTGGAATTTGCAGTGGAATTCATTGTGGCGCATGAAGCCTTCTGGTTCACCAACCTGGAAGCTCCGCGAACCCTGTTTTTGGGTTTTCATTACATTGCACAAGTGATTAAATCATTAGCCAGTGGGGCTAAACTGAATTGCAGTTGCTCTCCCTTCTCCAGCAGTTGGGGAGATGAGACTGAGAATTCTAATCCTCTCATCATGTGATTGGTTCCCCTGGTGACCAGCCCCCATCCTTAGGTACTTTACAAAGTCCCCTTGAGGTATGGTTGAAAGGGGTTTGTTATGAATTCAAGGCACCCTTAGAGCTCTCATAGCTTAAGAAATTCCAAGGGTTTTAGGAGCTCTGCTAGAAATGGGGACAAAGACCAAATGTATATTTCTTATTGTAAATCACAATATTACACTTGTCCATCACAGAGAAGCAGGCTTTGGCTTAGTGTAAGAAAAAAAAGATTTAGTTATAAAATCACTAAATCACAGGGATGTCATGTACAACATGGGGACTATAGTCAATAATACTGTATTAATTCTGTATAGTGACAGATGATAATTAGACTTATTGTGGTGACCTTTTCACAATGTATATAAATATTGAATCACTTTGTTGTATGCCTGAAACTCATATAATATTGTATGTCAATTAAAATAATAATATTATTAATATAATAATACTTTTGAAAAGAAAGAAAAAGCGCTCTTAAAACCAGAGCTATTCTTAAATGGGATGTGTGCTGCGTGAGATAGTGAGCTCCTTGTCAAGAAAGAGTTCAAGTAGGAGCAGGTTGTTGTAGACAGGATTCCTTTGATCTCACTCATTTGTTGAATATAATGAACAACATAAACTGATGAACAAAAATACATCCAGAGACGTGGAAGCATCGAACAGACTGTGCAACCTCAGAGGGAAGGCAGGGGGGGAGGTAAGAGATCAACCAAAGGACGTATATGCATGCATATAAGCATAACCAATGGACACAGACAGTAGGAGGGTGAGGGCATTTGCTGGGGGGAGGGAGTGGGCCGGGAGAGGTCAATGGTGGAAAAATGAGACATATGTAATACCTTGAACAATAAAGATTTTTTTTAAAAAAAAGAGTCAAAGGCTTGATTAGAAGGTTTCTAAGGTTCCTTTAAAGTCTGGAATTTTATTATGATTATATATAGCTCAGGCCAAATACCTTGGTATATAGCCTTTCACACCCTACAGATAATACTATCAAATCATGTTGGCTTCATCTTTAAAGATATGATAAAGCCAAAAAGATATAGCATTTCACCATTTTGAATTGTCCTGATTTAGTAACCATCTCTCATCTGGATCATTCTTTCTCGCCTCTCATGCTTCCATTCTTTCCCCACTCAACTCTGGTGAGGAGAGCAATCCTGTTAAATGTGAACCAGATCATGTTATTCTGTTTCTCAAAAAAAAAAAAAGATCAACATATTGTCTATACTTATGTCTGGACCACACACACCTGTGCGCGCGCGCGCGCGCACACACACACACACACACACACACACACACACACACACACACATCTGTTCTCCAGATTAAACTTCTGTTGTTCATCCATTAAATGTCCGAATTTTTACCATCCAGGTTGCTCACCTAATTATGTCCCTTCATTATGTGTCTCAGGTGGAACATAACTGTTTAGATTTTATCACAGAAGTATGCCTTCTATTACCTTCCTTGTTCTGTACACTATTTCTGACAGCACTCTCTTTGATTGTGTTAGCATATTTGACTATCATATTCTTTGAATCATCTAAATGTTTAGTCAAGTAAAATTTTTACACTTTTAAAAAATATATAAATTCCTACTCAGTCTTCCCCTTTCTGTAGTTGATTGATAGACAATTTTAACTCAAACACAGAACTTGTCATGCATCACTAGAGACATCCATTCGTTTTTGTATTGATTAATTTATAAGCACTTTTTTTTGGTTAATCCTCATCAAAGGATATTTTTTCCATTGATTTTTAGAGAGAGTGGAAGAGTGGGAAGAAGGGTGGGAGAGAGGGAGGGGGAGAGAGAGAGAGAGAGAGAGAGAGAGGGAGGGAGAGAAAGAGAGAGAGAGAGAGAAACGTCAATGTGAAAGAGACACATTGATTAATTGCCTTCTGCATGTGCCCCAACCTGGATGGGAACAAACCTGCAACTCAGATACATGCATACATGCCCTTGACAAGAATTGAACACTTGACCCTTCCTTGTGCAGGCCAGGGCTCTAACCATTGAGATCACTGACTAGGGCAAGTTATAAGCACACTTGAGACATTGTAGCTATCTATGGATTCATTCATACTGAATCATCAAGGACAGCAAAATGTGTGGACTGTCTAAGGTGCTACTTCCAACATTCACTCAC